CCTCCTCCTCCTCCTCACTCTTCCCTCCTCGGTGGCCCTCGCCGAGGTGCACACGCCCCCGAGCGGTGCCAGACCCCCGGGGCTGCCCCCCGGGACCTCGGGCCGGCCGGCCGGCAGGGCAGGCGCCCCCCTCAGCCGTGGGAGCCCGAGGCCGCCCTGGTCAGGCGCCGGGCCTCGGCCTCCAGCTGCCTCGGAGGGGCAGAGAGAGGGCACCTCAACCGTAGAGGAAAGAGGACTATGCACCTACACCGATTCTGGCCAGGCCCATCCTGAGCCCAGGATCGGTGCATAGGCCCTCCTACCTTGGCCGGGGAGGCATATGCACCGATCCTGGGTCGAGGATGGGCGTTGTCAGGATCGGTGCATGTGCATAGTTCTCTTCGCCCGAGAGAGAGGGCACCTCAGCCTGGCCATCGCTCGGACGTCCATTCCCTGTGCTTTTGTTGGTTTCGTGCGCGGCTTTTCCGCCAAATGATCAAGGATGCTCCTCGATGGCCCTCGCCGAGAAAGAATGCACACGTCCGAGCGATGCCAGACAGCTGCCCCGATACGCAACTCAACACGTAGACGGAAAACGTAATCATGACGCGATGCGTTGGTCAAAGCGTGGGCCAATACGTTGTGCCAACACGCAACGTATTGACACGGACGTTTTCAGCACGGTGAGCGTTGCGTCTCAAAGCGGGCGCATCGAGGCAATTAAGGATGGCACTGGTAACGACGATGACAGCGACGACGATAGCAACGATAGCAAAGATCCGTGTTTTTCTCCTGCTGTGCTTGATTGCTTATATGCCTCAGGCGAACTACTAGACAATATAAAACGTGCCAGCACGGGTTACAAAGGCGCGCGAGTGGAACCCGGAAAAAATAACTCGCACCTCCCCGGAGTGAGCTCGTCGCCGCGACTCTGCAGCTGCCTGCTGCGGGCGCCGGGCACGGCAGACAAGCCCTGCCCCTCTCGGCAGACAGATGCCAACAAGAGGAACTACCCGCGACAATGATGCCTGGGCGGGTGGGCGTCGCAACCGCCGACCGCGGGAAAGGGCTGTGCGCCCCGCAGAGGTGCCCAACAACTCGGCGCTTCCGCGGGATTTCGTCCGTTAGCGGGGCGGGCGCTGCGTCGCCTGCGCTGCCGACGCGTCGCGTCCAGAGCAACGGCTTCTCGCTCGCGGCAGGGAAGCGGGTGGCACACGCACGCGCCATCCGCAAGCAGCTTCAACGCTAGACGAGGCCGAGGAAACGACCTCTTGCTTGACCCCTCGCACCGAGGAGATAAGCGCGCCGACCCAAGCGGACGGGGCTCCGCCGAACCGCGCAGCCGCCGCGGGACTGGCGGGCTCACAAACCTTGGGCGCCGTAGTCGAGAGCGAGTCGACTACACGTAAGAGTGACCCTAGGCAAGAGTGACCTTTGGTGCGCAGGTTTGGGGGACCTCGAGGGGCCCAAATCCAAGCGCGCGGGCCAGTGCCGGGACCACCCCTGCGAGCCTGCACCCAAGGTCACTCCGGCGAGAGGTCACTCTTACGCGTAGTCGAGCGAGCCAAATGCGGGGCTGGCGACGACGGACACAAAGCTGACCTTGGTACGACCTCCCTGCGGTGTGGGTGGGGGTGCGGCAGGGAATGTCGAGCACCTGTGCGCATCGTGCACCCGTGCACACCGAGCGGCCCGCCTCGCAGGTCGCGCGCCCGGCGCCCGCTACGGTGACCGCAAAGACGCCCACGGTGTGACCATCATGGTACCCACGATCGCTTCGGGCCAACAATATCACCGCGGCGGTCAAACGACGTCGAAACCCACATTCTCCGACAGGGCCAGCGGGCGCAATGGGCACCGTAGTGGCCACACGGGAAAAATGAATCATGAATGGGCGCCATAGTGGCCACACGCAAAAATAAGTGGTCACAGAAAGACCAGTTGTGGTCACATCAAAAACTTGTATGTGCGCATCGCTGCAGCAATGATCTGCGAAGGTATGTCTCTGAGGCGTACGTACGCAAGCGAGAAGCACATTTCCCTTCGCCCTCCCTCCTTCTTCCTCCTCCTCCTCTCCATCCTCTCCTCCCTCCTCCCTCCCTCCATCCTGCCCTCCTCCTCAGTCTCCGAATCCTCATCCTCCGCCTACACGTTCTTTTTCCTCCTCCTCCTCCTCCTCCTGCTCCTCCTCCTCCTTTTCTTGCTCCTCCTCCTCCCCCTCCTCCTACTCTTCCTCCTTGTCACCGTCGTCCTCCTCCTAAGCACCCCCAAATCCTCCTCCTCCTTTTCTTGCTCCTCCTCCTCCCCCTCCTCCTACTCTTCCTCCTTGTCACCGTCGTCCTCCTCCTAAGCACCCCCAAACCCGCGATGCACATCACAATTGCGGGTGCTTATTGGTGGGAACGCCTTTTTGTGGACCCCGGCTGTCCGGGCCTTTAGAAGAGGACGATGGGGGAGTGGACAAATTAGCTGTCAAAAACGGCTGGCCGATGCCAGAAGTAGAAAAGCTCCGGCAACACGAGGAAAAGGAGACGAAGGAACGAGGAGGAGGAGGAGGAGGACGTGGAGGAGGAGGAGGAGGAGGAGCAGGAAGAGAGGGAGGAAGTGGGAGGGCAGGCACACGGTGGAACGAGTACGTGACACGGGGCAAGGAGAGGGCTCACCGAGGACTTTGCAGTTGTGGTCGTTGTGACTTTTGTTATCGTTGGCATGAACTTTCGGAGCTCCGAGCGGATTCTGTTCGGAGCTCCGCGCAGCCGTTGTGGGCTCACGGCTGAAACCGTCTCAAAATTTTGGTCTGAACGCACCCTGGGAGAGGTCCGTGAAGTAGCGGTATCGGTGTCAAAAAAAAAACCTTTTTTTTTTTGCCCCCCTCCCCCAACCTCCCCCCCCCCCCCCCCCCCCCCCCCCACACACACACACACACACACACACACACACACACACACACACACAAAACACACACACACCACACACACACACACCACACACACACACACACACACACACAACACACACACACACACACACACACACACACACACACACACACACACACAGACGGCATAAACACAAACTTTCGGAGCTCCGCGCGGATCTCTGGGGTCGGCGCTGGATCCTCCCTCTCTGAGATCCTGGCGTCTCCACTTTTTTCGTGCCGGGCGTTTTTGCCCAGTTTCGGGTCCCAGGACCCTCGCAAAACAATCTGTTTCTTCCCGCGAACACACCACTGGTGCCCGACCACATGCACTAGGCAAGCTTGGAATCACCTGAAGGCCAACCTGCAATAGGCGAGCCTACACGCAAGACCTTGGCCAGTGCAGGTAAACTAAAGCGGGCGTAGCCGCGGCCACGTAGCAAGGCTTTCCTGCTCCTGCGGCCGAGACACGGAAGCCAGACTGCCTCGCAAAACAATATGGCTCGAAAAGTGTTTCAGAAAGGTGGGGTCCAGTGCTCGGCTCGCGATGCTTGGCGGTGTTGTTTACATTTTGTTCGCGGCGTCGGATCTCAAAGAGCCATCGACTTTCGGCTTTCGGAGCTGCGCACCGACTTCTTGGATCGGCGCCACGCCCCCCCTCCCTGATGTGAGAAGCGCGCCAGGGCGGCGCCGGAGGCGCCAGCAGGGGAGCGCAGCTCCGATCCAAGACATCCGCGTGGAGCTTCGCAGCCATGCGATGCCCTGGTTGGGAGGGGCAGCGAGAAGGGGGGGGACTGGCACAGGGGGGATGCCTCGACCCAGAATCGGCGATACATCGCCGATAGACTGGCGACAGGGCCCCGATAGTAGGGCCATCGGGCCCCAGATCGGCGATCAATGGGCGATTCGGGGTCGACGCATCCCCCCCCTATATCCCCCCCGATCGTTGCCCCCGAGGTCTTCGCAGTACGGGGCCCCTGGAAATCCCGATGCTTTTGCCCCGCGTCTGGCCTTTCCTCGCGAGTCGCGTTTCTGGACGACCGCGGGGCCCCGCGATGGCGCCTCCGGAGGCCGGCACGGCCCAAAGCATCCCGTCGCGAGCTCTCTCGACTTGTCGGCGCGCGCACAGGGGAGTATAGGGGGAGGGGGGAAGGCTTCCTGGAAGGCGGCGGCTTCTTAGAAGGCGCTGGCCGTACCTCCGTAGACGAGGCCCGCGCGTTCTGAGGAACGACAAATGATCTAAACATACAAACTCAATTCCGCACGGATTTCTTGGATCCGCGCTGGACGAGAAACCCGCGCGGACCTCCGAGTTTTTATGTTTGTGTCCCTGTTCGTTCCCCGATGAGAGGCCTTGGCCCCCCCCCCCCCCCCCCCACCACCCCATACCTAATCACGCCCGCGGGCCGTTTGGGTCTGGACGACGCGAGCGAGTTGCTCCTCTTCGCTGCCTGGCCGACGCGGCCGCGGGGCTCTCGGCGGCCGCGCCGCTGGCGCCGCCGGCGCCGCCGGCGCCGCCAGCGCCGCCAGAGACGAGGCTGGCGGTGCCCTGCAGCACGGAGGCGCGGGCCTGGGCCTGCTGGAGCTTCCGCGTCAGCAGGGCCACCTCGGCAGGGACGTGACGGCGACGACGGCGACGGCGACGACGGCGACGACGACGATGACGGCGCCGTCGGCGGCGACGGCGACCGCGACGACGGTGAGCACGGGCACGACCACGACCACGACCACGACTCCTCCAGCTTCTCCTCCTCCGCCTCCTCATCCTCCTCCTCCCCCTCCTCCTCCTCCCCCTCCTCCTCCCCCTCCTCCTCCTCCTCCTCCTCCTCCTCCTCCACCGTCTCCTCATCTTCTTCTTCTTCTTCCTCCTCCTCCTCCTCCTCCTCCTCCTCTTATTCCACATCCCCCTCATCATCGCTCCCTTGGGTGAGGCGCTGATCCACGGAGGCACTAGGAGGAGGGAGAAAGAAGGAGGGGAAGGAGGAGGAGGAGCCAGGAGGAGGAGGAGGAGGCGGGAGCAGAGAGGCAAAGGGAGGAAGGAGAAAGGAGGAATGAGGGAGGAGGAAGAGAGAGGATGGAAGAAGAAGGAAGAGGGAGGAGGAGGACGAGGAAGAGGGAGGAGGAAGAGGGAGGGAGGAGGAATGAGGAAGAGGAAGAGGGAGGAGGAAGGAGGAATGAGGCGGAAGGACGCAGGCCCTTCCTCCCGAAGGCTTTTGGCCAGCCTGGCGCCTTCTCCTCGAGGGCGGCGCGCTGCTTCGCCTCGGAGCCCCGCGTGGAGCGCTCGAGGCGCAGCTCCGCCTCTGCCCGCAATTGCCCCGCGTCGGCCCCGCGCGAGCAAGCAAGACAACCGGACAGACACTGGCGGTGCAGAATGCGCACATATGCTCCTCCTCCTCCTCCTCCTCCTCCTCCTCCTTCTCATCCACCTCCTCCTCCTCCTCCTCCTCCTCCTCCTCCTCCTTCTCATCCACCTCCTCCTCTTCTTCCTCCTCCTCCTGTTTCTCCTCCTCCCTCCTCCTCCTCCTGTTGATCATCATATCCGTCATCATCATCACCACCACCACCACCATCATCATCATCATCATCATCATCATCATCATCATCATCATCATCATCATCATCATCATCATCATCATCATCTCATCATGTCATGTTCATGATCATCATCATGATCATCATCATCATCATCATCATCATCATCATCATCATCATCATCATCATCTTCGTCATCGTCATCGTCATCATCATCATCATCATCATCATCATCATCATCATCATCATCATCATCATCATCGTCATCGTCATCGTCATCGTCATCGTCATCGTCATCATCGTAACCATCATCATCATTTTGTATAGCGTGGCCCTGGGAGAGCTTCGGGCAGCGCTTGACGAGCTCAACCTCACATTCGCTGCGGAGTGCGAGCCCAGCGGCCCGCCATGGGCCCACCGGCCCGGCGCCTTTCCCACGCACACTCTGCCAGTTGGGGAAGTCACGTACGTCGACGACGAGGCCATATTGATTGTAGGCGACAACAACAACACGAGCCTCAACCGCAACGTCGCCCTGGTAACCGAAGCGGCGCACACCACCTTGGCGAGGCACGACATGCAGCTGAATTGGAAGCCCCGCAAGTCAGAGGCCCTCATCATGTGGAGGGGTAAGGGCGCACGGGCCGCCAAGGCAGAGGCGATGGTCGGCGAGCGCCCTGCCTTGGCCCTGCCTGGAGTCCCAGGCATCGAGTGTCTCGTGGTGAGCGAGTACAAGCATTTAGGATCCATGCAGTCTGGGGGGGTCGCGTCCTTTGCCCTGGACGTACGTGCACGCCTGCGGAAAGCATCCGCGGTGTACCACAGCCTGGTGCGGAAAGTCTTCGCAGTGCAACACGTGAGCGTGCAGCTCAGGCTGCGACTTTTCCAGTCCCTCTTCCTCTCAGTGCTGTTCTATAACTCTGAGCTGTGGACGCCTTAGCGCACGCAAATGCAATGGCTGTACACAAAAATGATCTGCGCGCCGTGCGCAGGATCGCCCACGAGAGCCGTTTCCCGATCCCTGGGGGGCCCCGCCTAAGCGATCTTGCACTCTTGCAAAAGTTGCAGCTTCCCCCCATTGACAATATACTCAGGCGGCGCCGCCTGCTATACTATACATGCCCAGCTTGATCTACGAGCACTTCCCTGCGCTGCAGGCCCTTCTCCTGCCCCACTCGGCATCCCCCTCCCTGTGGTCTCAACGAATTCTCGCCGACCTCCAGGCGATTCCCGGGCTCGCGCCGCCGCCAGCCCGCCGCGACCTAGATGCGCTAGGGGACCCAAGCTCAGCAAAAGGAGCAGCCGCATGGACAGAGTTCATAGCCACCGACTGGTGGAAGTGGAGACGTCTCGCCCGGGACGTTACGCTAGGATCGTCGTCTTTTGCCGACGACTCCACAGACCCTCTTACAGTTCCGTGCCTGGAGTGTGGCAAACGTTTCAGAAGCAGCAAAACCGTCGCTACGAACCGGATGAGGGTTCACGGCCATCGGGTGCCCTGCCTGCTCAAAAGTTTTCGAGACCATCCGGCAGCTTTTAGACCATGCGCAATACAAAGCTCGCAAATGCCGAGATGCGACTTTCCGTTATGTGTGTCTTGCCGCACGACATAGGTCTATGACTTATGTCTGTCTGTGTGTCTGCCATCATCATCATCATCATCATCATCATCATCATCATCATCATCATCATCATCATCATCATCATCATCATCATCATCATCATCATCATCATCATCATAATCATAATCATCATCAGCATCATCACCATCACCATCACCATCACCATCATCATCATTCGAATCATCGGTAGAATGATCAACATCATCATCAACAACAGCAGAAGCCATCATCATCACCATCATCACCAGCATCATCCTGATGAGCATCAGCATCAGCATTAGCATCAGCGTCAGCATCGGCATCATCATCATCACCATCATCATCAACTTGACCGCCATCCTCATTCTCATCCACATCATCATCATCAGCAGCAGCATCATCATCATCATCATCATCATCATCATCATCATCATCATCATCTCCATCATCAGAAGTATCATCCTCGTCGCCATAATCATCATCATCATCATCATCATCATCATCATCATCATCATCATCATCATCATCATCATCTCCATCATCAGAAGCATCATCCTCGTCGCCATCATCATCATAATCAGCATCAGCATCATAATCATCCTCAGCATCATCACAGTAATCATCATAATCATCATCATAATCAGCATCATCGTTTTCTCAGCATCGTCATCAGAATCATCATCCTCAGCAACAGAAACATCCTTAATATCATCATCATCATCACCACAAGGATCACCATCAACACCATTATCAGCAGCAGCATCATCATCACCATCGCCATACTCCTCATAATAAGCATCATCATAATCATCATAGCCATCATCATGTTCATCGTCGTCATCATCACCATCGTAAGCATAAGCAGCACCATCATCAGCATCCGCATCATAATCAGCATCACCACCATCAGCATCAGCATCAGCATCAACATCAGCATCAGCATCGGCATCATCATCATCATCATCAGCATCATCATCATCATCATCAGCATCATCATCATCATCAACAGCAGCAGCATCCTCATCATCAGCATCAGCATCACCATCATCATGGCCATCAGCCATCCTAGCCATAAAAAAAGACCCCACAGTATCTGCTGCTTGAGTACTCGGGCTACCAGGGGATCACGTCCACCTTCTCCTGCATTGGCACCGACCCCGACAAGCAGGAGGACGACAAGCAGAAGATACAAACGGTCTGGCTCAACAAAACAATATCCGTGCAGGATGCGGACTCCATGGCCATGTCGCATGAGGCCGCCTTGAGCATCGCCAAGGGCGACCGCGGACAGCTTGGATTGCGAGTGCTACGTGAACATACAAAGGCCACCGACGCTGCAACGGCGGTACGTGGCTCAGCCATTGCGCTCGCTAGGCGTAAGCGGCGCATCGGCAACATACCCATAGGGCGCGCGACGAAGGGCCAGGTCTCCGACGCTGTGCAGTCGGCGGGCTGGGTCGCGGACATCGTGCACGTCGGCTTCGACCCTCCTGAGAAAATCAACTCTGCCATCGCGCGCTCCGACACGGAGCCCACTGACAAGTTCTGGAAGTTCGGCACCGCCAAGCCCTGGGTCGTCACGGAGGTCACGCCAGGGATCACGGCGGCGGCCAAGGGTATATAGCCCGAGGTGGGACCTACAGCGGTGCTCGCTGCCACGCTGCAGCAACAGCAGGCGCCACCGCCCCACCCGACGGGGACCGTGGCAGCCTCCATCGCCTCGGCCACCCTGCCCTGGCTCGCTGCGCTGCAGGGCAAGCCGCCTGTTGCACAGGTGGCGCCGACGAGCGAGGACGGCCGGATCCAGGTCGATGAGACAAAAGAAGTGCCACTACCAGCACCAGTACGTCTACCAAATGCCGAACACAAACGTATCGAGCACTTGGAAGCGAACGTCCGCCGGCAAGCCGCCGCCATGGAGGCCATGGAGGAATCCATCGCCAAGCAGGAGGCCAACACCGCAGCCCTCGGCGAGAAGCTCAACACCGCCACTACGCAGACGCAGACGGCCCTCGGCGAGCTCAGGCAGGCGAACACCGCCATGATACAGACGATCGCCACGAACCAGACCCCATTGCAGTCGAGCCTCCACAATATCCTCAAGAAGCTGAACCTCCAGGATGAGCACGCCGAGGCTCCCGACGAGAAGACCACTCGGCAGAGCCGAGGGTGCCCAAGGAAGGCCTGTTCCACCCTCTGCTAGGAAGTTCGATCTAAGGGTCGGGGACGAGATCGCAGCAATGGCGATCAGCTACCTGGAAGCGGGCAGCAGGCACGGCTCCTTTGATATTGCGGCGCGCGGGATAACCGCGTATCTCCTGGCTGCTGCTCTTCCACGCATAACTCGACGGCGCCACTTAGCCTGGATGACTGGTACGGTAAAGACGAGGCTTACCACCAGAACGCCTACCTGAGCCACGTTTTGCTGCGTGCTCCTCGAGCGCTCGGAGAACGCCGTCGCCACGTTTTGGGTCAGAACAGCGGCACTGTCGGATCTTCACCAGCTGCCGACGAATGTCGCATTGCCATGATGTGGAGTGTCTGCTACCTCACCTTTGGCATGTGCATGGGTCACCGCACTCGGGTGTACTCTGACAGTCTTAGGACATGGACCTGGCCAGCAGCGCCTCCTCTCTCTCTCTCTCTCAACGTCACGTCCCTGCAGGCGCCGTGGGAGCTGCTCACGGCACTCGGCGATCGCGGAGTGGCAGTAGCGGCCCTGCTGGAAGTGCGACACACTCGAAGTCGATTCCCAGACCTCAACAAGCAACTACATCGACACGGGTGGAGGGCGCATTGGGGACACCCATTGGAACCTGCCGATCGCCAGATCCCTGCCAAGAAGGGCTAGCACCAGTATGTCGCCAAGGGTGTCCGAGCGGGCCATGGCGGGGTCGCCATCGTCGCTCCTACAGCTCTTCCAATGGTATGGTGCCTACTGTGCTCCACATGCTGCCCACGAACGTCCCTTGGCCACCCAGAGGTGGAAAGACGTGTTCGCTCCGATCCCGAAAAGCCAAGGCCAGCGCGTCACGGGCTACTGCATCGCTGCCGTCTACGGCGTCGCGGGTGCGTCTCACGAGGCCCTCTATGCCGACGTATGGCAGACGGCGGCACTGCGAGGTACAGCGGCGCCCTACTTCGTGACCATGGACGCGCAATGCG